TACCGGTGTTGTAGCTTTTAGACAGTGGTTGGTAATATTTACCGGTGTTGTAGCTTTTAGACAGTGGTTGGTAATATTTACCGGTGTTGTAGCTTTTAGACAGTGGTTGGTAATATTACCGGTGTTGTAGGTTTTAACGTTACAGTGTTATCTTATTTAACTCCAGAGTCTTTTAGTGGTTGATCCAATATATCGTTGACTGCACCTCGGATATGTGAACTCGTATATTACTAGCGAGGAATGTAATGAATATTGTTTGTCTGCAAAGTTCAAGACCCCTTTTAAATCATAATCAGTTTTAAAAACACATTTTAACCGAACTTGTAGATATAGATGTTTGATAATTTTCTTCTTAATTATGTACGAAATAGTGCCTAAGTATGGCATGACTAGAGTGATAGTTTTCTCCTTAAGTATGGCATGACTAGAGTGATAGTTTTCTCCTTAAGTATGGCATGACTAGAGTGATAATTTTCTCCTTAAGTATGGCATGATTAGAGTGATAATTTTCTCCTTAAGTATGGCATGACTAGAGTGATATTTTTTAGGAACATCTAACATAACAACAGGTGGAATATTTAGTTTATTAGTTTTGATGTGAATTGTTGGGTATACTTACCATAAACCAACTTGGGTATACTTACCATGAACCAACTTGGGTATACTTACCATAAACTAACTTACACTGGACCTTACATTTTGAAAGTTTCATTCCTTCTATCTTTAAATAAAATCTGGTTAAAACCCTACTATACACAGTGTTTGAAATATCAGGACATCAAAACCTTTTCGAACCAGAAGTTGAGAACGTCAAACAAATGTTTAGAAGAAATTGTTTTCCGTTGTCATTCCTAAATAGTAAACTAACTTGGGTATACTTACCATAAACTAACTTGGGTATACTTACCATAAACCAACTTGGGTATACTTACCATAAACTAACTTGGGTATACTTACCATAAACTAACTTGGGTATACTTACCAAAGCTAGTTTATGGTAAGTATACCCAAGTTGGTTCATGGTAAGTATACCCAAGTTGGTTCATGGTAAGTATACCCAAGTTAGTTTAAGGTAAGTATACCCAAGTTGGTTTAGGTAAGTATACCCAAGTTGGTTTATGGTAAGTATATCCAAGTTGGTTTATGGTAAGTATACCCAAGTTAGTTTATGGTAAGTATACCCAAGTTGGTTCATGGTAAGTATACCCAAGTTGGTTCATGGTAAGTATACCCAAGTTAGTTTATGGTACGTATACCCAAGTTAGTTTACGGTAAGTATACCCAAGTTAGTTTACGGTAAGTATACCCAAGTTGGTTTATGGTAAGTATACCCCATTTGAGGGCTCTGTTTTTTAATATTTTGTTTCTATTCAAACTAATGTTTTAGGAAGACTACATTTAACTTTTCAGACTTACCAGAGTGTTCGTATTTATGTCGAGCTAAAGAGCTTTGTTTGTTGAAAACTTTGTCACATTCATTGCAACCAAACAACTCTTCTTCGCCATCTTCCTTCATAACTTTAATCTTTTTATTCTTCAGTAGGGCTACAGGATCGTCACCAGAACCAGGGCTGTCTTGTGGACACTGACCTTCATCCGCTTCGACCTTTAGGATAGACATAAAAAAATGAAAGTTCACCACATTATTTCTGCTACGCATGTGGCGTTATTCTATAAAAGAAAGTCTACACACTTTTTGTTTAATTTTTTTTTATTACAGGACAAAAAAAAAAACAGTATTCATGGTATTAGTTTTCGTAGTTCAAAGACTATCTGCGCTAGCTGTCCATAATTTCTGAATTGGTAGACTAGAGGGAAGGGAGCTAGCTAAGAGCACCCACAACTAACTCTTTACTTATTCTTATCGAATAATGGGATTGACTGTCACTCTTAAAACGAACGCAGAACCCCACAATGCGGAGTGCGGGTTCGATGTGGCATAATGATCAACGTGCCAGTCTATGAATCCAAGGGTCGATGCCCTTGGATTCATAGACTGCCACATTGATCCTGGTTGGAAAACGTTACAGATGTTGTATATCTTAGATGAAAAGCTAGATGTGTGATGGTAAAATTCTATACGATTAAAATCCATACATTTCTTACAGATATTAAAAGGGAAACTGATATATTTCACCTTTATATGAATGTTTTATGTCTACTTAAATTCATTTATTGGCTAAAAAAAGATTATTATGTTTTAATAATCACAAAATAAGATATTGAATGTGGGATTATTTGCTATCGAATGTTCAATGTTAGGTTGCGCTCAGGCTCATGACGTAGTAATATTAGTAACCTACTCACCCGTTCTCCTGCGTACGAGTTTAGAAGTGAGGAAAAGCGTTTTTTGAATAAACCAAAGTTAGAAGGGGGGGGGGATTTGTATAAAAGCGCAACTATCTTGTTGACGTCTGAATTGGGTGCCCCCCTTTTTTCCCCTCAGTGCGTCATTAATAAAAATCTTATTCAAGCGAGGAACGAATACAGTTGGGTTTGACTATAATTAATATATTTATGTTAGATTTACTTAATAAAGATCAAATTGTGTTAAAGAAGAAATAGATCAACAAGAAACGAATATGAAGAACGAACCCTAATGATGACATGTGCTGCTGTATATGCGTTCGGTATTCGCCTGAAGAGTAAATAATGAAAAGTTTGGAAAATAAAGAACACCGTAATAAAATAATAAAAAAAAAATAATACGAGTTTACTTATATAATCATATGTGTGTGTGTGTGTAAAACATACATGCAGCTATACCAAGAACCAAATCTAATTTGCTCAGGAAAGTGATTGATAAAATGAAACAAAAGAAAAAGACACATACGTGAAATATAAACACCGGTTTCGTATCTTAAAGACACTCTTCAGCTATCAAAATAAGACCTGTTTTTTTTATAGTACCTAGATAAGACTTGCTTGTTTTTTTTTAGCACAAAGCCACATTAGGCTATTGCTGTGTCCACCACGGGGGAATTGAACCCCGGATTTTAGCGTATTAAATCCGTAGACTTATCGCTATCCCATCGGGGGGGACGCCCACATAAAAATAAAATAAAATTCCCACGTTTTTTTTTTTACCTTAAAAATTTATACAAGTTTTAAACTTCCCCTCTATGTTAAACTACGTAGCATTTGATGTGGTTTTAATTCTACCAATAAAATAATTTTAATAATATTTGTGCGTGTAAGAGAGAGTAAATATTTTTAAACAGATAAGTCCAAATTTTCTATACGGGATCGAAACATGTACTTGTAGAGCGATATTTTAAAGTGGAAGCCGTACGGCTTCAATAAAGTTTTTATTGTGTAAATGTAAAACGTTGTTTTTAGAAATTTATTATAATTTTAAAAGAAAATATTTATATATATATATTTTTACCGATTATTTTTAAGAGCTTTATTGTTATAAAACAAACTACAACAAAATTAAATATGGAACCAATTCAAACAAATCAACTTGTGGAACTTGTTGCGAGTATTTCTACAAAGAAAAAGATTAACTAAATTATTACATTTATTTACCATCAAGAATTTAAAGTGTTTTCTCATTGCATCAGTTTTATATCAGCACCAATAAGATCAATAAGTTTCAACTAAGCTTGATTTAAAGAAAGAACGTTTATGAGCAGAAAGGCCCGGCCTGGCCAGGTGGTTAGGGCGCTCGTCTCGCAATCTGAGGGTCGCGGGTTCGAATCCCCGTCACATTAAACATGCTCACCCTTTCAGCCGTGGGGGCGTTATAAAGTGACGCGGTTTCGTCATTAACATTCTTTAGATATTTATCTCGCTCATAAACGTTTGTTTTGTTTTTTTTTAATTTCGCGCAAAACTACACGAGGGCTATCTACGCTATCCGTCCTTAATTTAGCAGTGTAAGACTAGAGGGAAGGCTACTAGTCATCACCACCCACCGCCAACTCTTGGGCTACTCTCTTACCAACGAATAGTTGGATTGATCACGAGGAGACAACAAGAAATAAACACGAGTCAAAATACAAAATGCTGTTCTACTAATACCAGAAATAAACGTCTTCTTTGCTGTTATGTTAAACTAACTTTAATATAACTTTTTCTTCATTACCCATACAAGCCGTCTCCAAGCATTATTAGTCTTCAATAAATGTCTTCTATACACCAATATGTTCTACAGAAATTAACGGAATATTGTTCTAAATCACGGAGTTGGCAGTCGCAACTTTCCATCAAATTCCTGTTTATATTCACTCCGGCGAGCGATGTTATAAGCTTGAGAACTATCATTAACCGAAGGGAAAGTCTTGGCAAATTGTTCAGAGTATTAATTTTTTAATTGTTTTAACACAATTATTTGTATATCTGTACCATTTAAAATCATGTTTTATGATATGTTCAGTAGGCAGATTGGACATCATTACATGACTAGAAAGATCGTTGTTGATTCTGTGTGTTTTCAGAGTTCATAAACTTACAAGTCGTGCACCTTGAGGCTCCACGCAAGTTTTTAAGTCCAAATGTCCATACTATTTGCAACTCCATTATATTTGTATTGCTTAAAAACGCACACACTGGAAACATAACAGCGGTAGGCAGATATTTAGTAAAAAGCGTTTTTTAACACAGAAAATGTAGGATAATAAAACTCAACCCATTTTAGACCTACCTATTGACTCTGTATATTGTAGGGCTAATGTTAAGATAAGGTAGGGTCGATTCAAAGTGTCACAGCCATTAACACTATCATTAGAGTTTAATAAAAGACAACAAATCAGGTTTAAAAGCCACAGATAAGTGTTCAATCCACTGGCAAAATGCGGACAATCATTATAAACCTCAACCAAACATCTTATGAACTTTTAAATACCTTTTTTTTGTTTTTATAATTTTACGATAAAGTTCAATTTAGATTCAAACTAAAAGAAAATTCAAATATTTGAAAGTAGATAACCGTAAAACAAATGAGACATACGATAAAACAAACCTGTTTCCAGCTCTTTTTATTCGGTATCCTAAGTTTCAGATCTCCTTGGTCACTATTATGGCGAGCTTCGAGATTATCTAGAGGAGATATTATCTTATCATCTACGCTTATTTTCAGATTGGTTGGGCTATATGTATCTCCTCTACTGGTTGCATCTGAAGATGATGATGATCTGAGTGGAATCCCCTCACTAGCTGGCGACAGTGGAACAAGTGAGGGAGAAGACACTCGCATGATATTAAATGATGACACATCTGCTAAAACACGTTTTCTGTAGACATTTTGACGATGTCCATTTGTTCTTGAATACTCGTTAGTAGAAGGATCTGAACTGGGCTGGTTTGAGTTTAATTCTAAGGAGATATCAAAACAAGCAGATGGCGAGTAAACTCTTGTAGCTTGATTCATGGGAACAGCGGGATTTTCTATTCTGTTTTCAATATATTTGGAAGAATATTTATCTCGTTCGTTTTGCCAACAATATGGAAGCTTTTGAAACCTAAATTCATCGTAATGTAAAACGTTTTGACTATGTGGATTATTGCTTTCTCGCTGAGGGGTCGATGTACGGGAAGACTTTTGACTGAGATTCAATACCTCACAATCAGAACTGGCACTAAACTGGGACACATTTACTTCCGAAGAAGAAAGAACTGGAACGGAAATTCTCGATTTTAAGGAAAGATCTAGAGGTTGTTCAAATTCAATATTTCCACACGAATCTTTGGCAAATTTTCCTTTTACACTCAGAATATCACCTCTATTTGATGATGTGGGAGATGATAAAAAGTGAGAATGAATGTGGCTATTATTATGAACAAGTGAGCCAGGCACAATCCGCCTAATTGACATGGTTCCGTTATAATGTGTAGTTGAGAAGGGAAGAGACAAAGGATTAAGGAAACATTGTGGCTTGTATTGAGGAACGTTTATAGGAGTTTGAGTGCAAGATGGTTGAGGTTTGTACGACTGAATGAGTTTCGATGCTGAAGGACTCGATGACCCACTGGAATGGCATCTCTGTGCTTGAACATTCTGAAACCAACACTGTGCAATTCGCGAGGAGCAGTCCAATTCTTTGGCAAGGTTTATGACTTCAGACTTGGTTGGTTTTGGATTACTATCGCGGCATGCCTGTAAAACAGAAAACTTGTCGTCAGTCAGTAGTGACTTCACACTCGCACATCGTTCATTCACCATCACGTTTTCATTTTCAGCAGCGTCTATATGCCATTCTTCCATACTTTCGGTTGAAGAATGCGGTGAAATGCTTTGTTCGATAAACTCAGTTTTGCAATTTTTCACAAAGGCATTTTGAATCGGTGATTCTTCTTTTATTTTCCCATCTTGAACTTCCTGAAAACTGGTTTCCTGATGTTCACTCTGAGGTAGACGAATTGTTGTGTTCTTCCAACATGTATTCCTTTCGTGCTGACGAAGGACAGTGTAGTTATCAAAGTTCTCACTACAATATCGACACTGGCATTCTTTTAGCTGGTTGATATTATATTCGTTGTTTTCAGGACTTTTAGTGCCTTCTAGTTCTGATTTACAATTGACAATATTTCCTGAAACATGAGAACGTGGGGGTGAGTTAAGAAGATCTGGAAGAATACCATTTTGTCCGTTATTACTCCCAGAAACTTGTTGCTTGGTTACAGTAGCATCAACAATCTCAAGTATCTTTTTCACAGCGTTCAAATTTCTTTTTAACGGAAGGCTTGCTGCTGAAGAAGAGAGATCTATCTTCTCAGAACTGGAGTTTTCGAGTTCAAAGTTGGACGGTCCAGATTGCAAAGAAACAGTAAAAGAATGATCTCTCAGAGAAGGGAAGGAAGCAACTGTCGGAAATTCTTTATCCTCTGGTTTCTGGACATTGGACATTCTGGACTCTAACAGATGTGACATATCTGTTAAGCTAGGTAATGAAGCGTACCGTGAAGGGAGGCCAACGGTTCGAAAATTGTTAGCTAAAACTGGATGAAAGGGAATGACCGGAAGGTAAGGTTGTATCGTATGATGCTGATGGGCTGGTTGACTCGTGTGATTCTCGGGTGGGGCGAAAGAGGTGAAGCGATCAGAGGTTGGTAAATAGGCTGAAGGGGTCAGTGACATTTCTTCTCTGTTGGCTCCATGTTTTGGAATGATTGGGCGGAAAACATTGTTCTGGTTTGTTCCTCTGTTGCGAGAAGACTTGCTATCCATCTTTCGAACCTAAGAAATTAAGAAAAGCAAAAACACAATTTGAAATTTATGTTTCAATGCAGGTTATAAATTTTCTAACTTCAAGTGACGCTGAAATGAGCAACTAAAACAAAGAATTTATGTTTCATATTAGAAAAAAAAATTACAAGCCTTTTTTAAAACCATTGAGGAAACGAAACACTGTCTCCCAATTACTTGAAGAACAACAGTAAGATATTTCTTTCTTGCTGTTGTTGTTTGAAGTTTCTCTTGCAATTAAATTCGAATAGAATCTGAATCGGTGATAATCTTTTGTAAAGAAAAAGTATCTTTATCTAATCTATAAAGTACTATCTGCAAAGTACGAAACGGAACTGAGATAGTGTTTGTTCCATTGTTTATTGTACAACAAATTGATTCGAATAGGCTTAAAAATTCACATTTCTTCCTTTTTATTTAAGTGCAATGAAGACAAAACTGTGTGAAAATATAACCCTGGTTTGTTTTTCTTTTGCGCGGAATAACACAATGGGCTATATTCGCGGCGCTGTTTGTTTGTTGTTAAGCAGAAAGTTACACAATGGGCCCACCGCGTTTATTGAACCCCGATTTGTATCGTTATAATCTGCGCTCTATTGACAGCGAGAATTCGTAAACTGACCGCTGACAACTAACTTCCTTACCTACTAGTGTTTCCAAGGTAATGAAACAGTGTCCAGTGGGAACCATTTTAAACTTTATCAAGCGATATTTAAAAAAAGCAAACTTCAATAGTTTAAAATCTAATACATGTAAGTTCGTGATATTGACAAAACGTCACAAACGTAGTATGATGGAATACGATATGCTTACTTGTACACCGTAGGAATAGATTATTGATGGATTTTACGTTTTATGTTTTGAGAAGTGTCTTGTTCTCTCTCTCTTTCATTGCTAAGTAATACGTATTGTGTAGACTACGCTAGAAATTTGGCAATCGTCCTTGAGGTAATTTACATTGCCTTCTAATTCCTTGGGATAGTAGTGACTTAATGGTTAAAAAACCGGACTGCGGATCGAAAGGTCCAAGGTTTGAGCTAGTGATATGTTGTTGAACATGTTCTACATTTTCACCAGTGGGGACGTTATAACTGCATATAACAATCACTCTCATTATTCAGATAAAAACAGGCGCGTAGGAGGCGGATGCTGCTGACTGGTTGTCATCCCTCTTGGCAGCAGTTCAAATTTAGGAACTACTACACCCGAGTCTTGGGGAATCTGTTCTGGACGTTTGGCCCATGAATCCCATAAGTAGCAGTGGAGGTTAAACGTACTAAAGTCCTCTAAAACGAAAAGTTCTCTTGATTTTCGATACAAATTCTCAAAGAATAAATTATTTCCTTATCTCTTGCCCAACCCCCAATGGCACAGCGGTATGTCTGCGGACTTACAACGCTAGAATCCGGGTTTCGATACCCGTGGTGGGCAGAGCACAGATAGCCCATTGTGCAGCTTTGTGCTTAATTACAAACAAACAAACAAACCTTAATCTCCTAATTAATTATTTATTTTAGCTTTACAGGTCATAGCCTTCTCATTATTTACGAAACGAGATACGTATAACATTATGCGTGTTTCATGGGATTAAGTTGTAAAAAAAAATTATAGAAAAAATATGTAGGAGGTAAAAACGCTAGAAGGCTAAAACTTATAACTATCAATATAACGATATTGACACAATACGAATTAAAAAGACAATTTAGAAGTTCGATTTCCGTTTGTTTGTTTGTTTGTCTGTCTGCACTAGCCAATCGTCATTTTAAACTGAAAGAATAGGGGAAGACTGCAACTCTTGGGGCTACTCTCGTCTCATCGAATAGTGGGATTTGACTGTCACTCATATAACGCACCCACAGCACCGAAGTGCGGATTGCGATTTTGGAATAACGGGATGTAAACCATGGACCTCTTGGATTCGTAGTCTGTCACATGGACCTAAAGGCCACGCCCAGCCGCCATACATACAGTGTTTGTTTTCTAAGAAAATTAACGCGAAAACACTACAATTGGATCAGATAGGGAAGCCATATCCGTTTTGTCATAAACATCAAATTTATAATAATTTTAGATCAAAATGGCACATATATAACTAAATATTTCAGCACCTTGCTGGTAATGATACTTTCGTCCGTAAACCTTGTAGTATCTTTTGTAAGGCCAACACTGATGTAGAATTATTGATTAAAGAAACCCTCCACATCAAACAGCTTTCTACGACCCTGAATAACATGCAATCTTCATTTAATTTACACATTCTTTAATATGCACAGTATTTTTGTTGTTACTACCTTACTTTCTATGTGTTTTATTTAGTTTTGCTTAAATTATCTTTAATGTAGCAATGTATTTTAGTTATTTACTTATGACTGGTGTAAATTCTTTATATTTTGCTTTAGATACTGAAGACGGAATCTGTAGAATTCCGAAACGTTTATCTGCGTTTCTTATGATATAAATAAACAAAGTTGTTCATTATAAATGTAATAACCCTTTTTTATTGTTAAACTTGTTTTAGAATATATGTATATACCGTTAAATAATTTATTTTAGAACTCTCTACTTGCACTTACCTGATTAATTTAGTTTAGAACACTACCTGTACTTACCTGGTTAGATAATTTATTTTAGAACACTCTACCTGTACTTACCTGTTTAAACAATTCATTTTAGAACTCTCTACTTGCACTTACCTGATTAATTTAGTGTAGAACACTACCTGTACTTGAATGGTTAAACAATTTATTTTAGAACTCTCTACTTGCACTTACCTGATTAATTTATTTTAGATCTCTCTACCTGTACTTACCTGGTTGAAAAATTTATTTTAAAGCTCTCTACCAGTATTTACCTGGTCAAATAATTTGTTATAGTGTTGTATACCTGTTTTTACCTAGTTAGACAACTTGTTGTAACATTTACCTGTATTTATCTGGTATGATAGCTTTTACGAATTTTCACCTGTTCTGTGCCACCTACAAAGTTTGTTTTATAGGATTGTTTAACTGCTCGATTTTAGTTCAAAATAATTTGTAGGATAGTTTGTCTAGATTTTTATTATTTTACCATTTTTCCTTGAATATCCAGCTGTATTTACCCGGATCAATAATTCACTGTGGGATTGTCTACCTGTATTTACCCGGATCAATAATTCATTGTGGGATTGCCTACCTGTATTTATCCGGTTCAATAATTTATTGTGGGATTGTCTACCTGTATTTACCCGGATCAATAATTCATTGTGGGATTGTTAAGCTGCATTTATCCGGATCAATAATTCATTGTGGAATTGCCTACCTGTATTTATCCGGATCAACAATTCATTGTGGGATTGCCTACCTGTATTTATCCGGATCAATAATTCACCGTGGGATTGTCTACCTGTATTTATCCTGATCAATAATTCACTGTGGGATTGTCTAGCTGTATTTATCCGGATCAATAATTCACTGTGGGATTGTCTAGCTGTATTTATCCGGATCAATAATTCACTGTGGGATTGTCTAGCTGTATTTATCCGGATCAATAATTCACTGTGGGATTGCCTACCTGTATTTATCCTGATCAATAATTCACTGTGGGATTGTCTAGCTGTATTTATCCGGATCACTAATTCATTGTGGGATTGTCTACCTGTATTTATCCGGATCAATAATTCACTGTGTGATTGTTTAGCTGTATTTACCTGGATCAATAATTCACTGTGGGATTGTCTACCTGTATGGATCACTAATTCATTGTGGGATTGCCTACATGTATTTACCTGGACCAATAAATCGTTGTGGGATTGTCTACCTATATTTATAGGATTAAACAAATATAACATTTGCTTTTCTTGGTAAATCAAGATAATAGTCTAAATTCAACTATTACCTAATATTCAATTAACTTATGTTTATTTCCCTATATTACTTTTAAGCTACCTATTTACCCCTAAAGTTGATATGTTTCAGTTCTTAATAGTGACGTATATCTATCTACCTGGTTCATGACTGCTAGCCTTACCTATAATAAACCCTTATTTTAAGACGTTCTACCTCTTTTGCATTTACTTAGCTGTTACTGTACCACCGTCTACTTGTTACATCTGTCCTTGGGATGTTGACAAGCTTCTAACCATACAATTACCGATAAATCAATAGGCTTTTTAAACTCTTTTTTTCCCCTAAAACTGCGACTGTTGGTTAGAGGGTCCACGGGCCACATAAAACGTACAAACATAAATATTATCAATAGTACAGCTAATTTCACTAATTACTGCTGGTAGCTTGGGTATTACCTACATAAATCAAACAGCTCGCGAAGGATTCACCCAATTTTTTTTTATTAATTTATTTACACTGAAAGTTGTATCAAGTAAAATGATAAAATTACTTAACATGTGAACCCCCACCTTCTGCTGTTTGAGTTTCACCTTCCTCGCTGTTATCCGTCACACTTTTTTCGACGTCTCAGTGATGAACTTGGGGGTTTATAAGGCTAAAATTTACTGTCCGATCTTCGCGGTGCTCACGGCTCATGATATAGCTCATTGTGCAACTTTGCGCTTACCAATAAACACGGAAACACTGAACCGGTAAGCGGCGATAGCAAAATATTCAGCTAATAAAATAACAGATACATTCTGTAGAAATAGGTTGTTATTTTATTTACCTTAATATAAATCATTTGTAATAGTTACACGATATAATTTTCTTTAAGCAAGAAGTGCCTGGTTATGAACTTAAAGGTAAGAGGACAGTTATATCGTCTCACATGACAAGCAAGAAGTGCCTGATTATGAACTTAAAGGTAAGAGGACAGTTATATCGTCCCATATGACAGGGAAGAAGTGCCTGGTTATGAACTTAAAGGTAAGAGGACACTTATTGAACTTAAAGGTAAGAGGACAGTTATATCGTCCCGTATGACTAACCAGGCACTTCTTGCTTGTCATATGGGACGATATAACTGTCCTCTTACCTTTAAGTTCATAACCAGGCACTTCTTGCTTGTCATACGGGACGATATAACTGTCCTCTTACCTTTAA